ACCAGTATTTTCGCCCCTTCCCAAAATTACTTCAACGGAAGGTTTCCAGATGGATATGCTGAGCAAATCCATCTGGCGGAGTCAGGTTACATCTTCAGGGAGGCTGAAAAAAGTCAGAGACTTTGTGTTTGCAAAAAATATATATAAACACTATTTCGCAACTTAGACATAAGCTGTTACTTTCACCTTGCAAATAAGGAGCTAATAGAGCACTTTAGTTTCCACTTTGAGGAGAAATGATTGGCTCTGCCCTGCATCACCCCTCACTCACTGGGTTAGGTGTTGGTAATTGGACAGGCGCAGCGCAGTTAAAATAGGAGATGCCTGGAGGAGGTTGGGTAATGACAGCTGTAAGACAGGAAGGGAGCTGAAGACATAAAGATAAAAGCAAATAGCATTTTGACCACAATTTAACATTAGAATAGCAATCCAACATAGTTAAAAGCTCAAAAAACTTGATTTTGCATGATATATATCAAGCGGATCGGGTGAAGCCCATCCATCCATCCATTTTCTATCACTCTTATTTCAAGCGGGGGTCGCAAGGCGTGCTGGTGCCCATCTCCAACTGTATACGGGCGAGAGCCAGGGTACACCCTGGACAGGTCGACAGTCCATTGCAGGGCTTGGATGAAGCCAATAAATAAAAAAATCAGCAGATGTCTTAAGAAAACACTAAAACAACATATGTTCTTACTCTCTTGCTGTTCCTGTATCAAATATGAAATGGTGGATTTTGACAAACCAGATGTGAAAGCAGCAGCTATAAGTACATCCTGCTGCGCCGCCATGTTCATTTTGGTTTGGTTGCAGGCTTAGCACCTCTGCAGGTATATGTCCCGCTAAACCACAGGACTCTAATGTGATTGGCTGTGGATGGGTCAGTCTTGAAAGGTGAAGCAGGAGCAGATGGACTCAGAAATACAGCGAGAATTCAGCCCAAAGGTGACGTTAGAATCTTCAAATGAAAGAATTACTGACTAACTTTTAACATGTTTTAATTGTTAATTTTACAGTTTATCTCCCAGTCTTTAAGGTAGGAGGGCCTTCTTGCAAAGGCTCTGTTTCGTTCCCTCCATACAGATTCAAGCAGGACTTCAGCTTGGTCACTCCAAAATTGTATTACTTTCAGTCTAAGAAACCATGTCGATAAAATAACCAAAACTTTTAAATCTGATGCTTTGTTTTTCCACCGCTCAATCAACCAGCATCCGAGCTGTAGAAAGAGTAGAATGAGAACAGATAAAGGAGCTTCTGTGTTGCATTTTTTCCTTGTTCCTCTTATTGTGATATTTCTGGTGAAAGCAAAGATTCCCTCCCTGTGAAGTCAGCGTTCTCCCAGCAGCTCGCTCAGATGATAAAAACATCAGAGGAGATAATGCCACCATGCCCTGTTAGTCCACAGGCATTTCTCTCCGTTCATTAAAAATAAAACGAGGCAAACAGAACAGCAGAGCTGGACTGCAGGACTTTGAAGTTCCAAATGATTGATGTGGGGACTTGATGGTAGATTTTCATTGGTTTTCTTTCCATGCACTTGAAGCCAAATTAATCAACATATTCACTTCTACTTCCGAATTTAAACATTACAAAGCAACATAATATATTTTGATCAACAAATTGTTGAGATATAATTAATTTTACTTTAAAAAGCTTCAATATTCTTCAAATTATCACACAAAACTAATGATTTTTTGTTATATCTACGGCATAAAATAAAAGCCAAAACACTGTGAAGTCAAACTTTTACAGTAAATGTTTCATGTATTACATCATCCATTAAGACACGTTTAGGGTGGCATGTAACGCACAGCTTCAGATTTAAAACCTTGCTAGAAGCTAAATTACAT